TATCATGTTTGGTAAGGTGAAAGGTCAGAGAAAAAGAGAAAGGCACTCAGACAGATGGACTGGCAAAGTAGTAGTATCAATGGGCTCAAGCGTGGCAACAATTGTGAGGTTGTCCCAGGACCGGGCACTGTTTTGTTCCGTTGTACATAGGGTCCCTATGAATTAGCACCTAACAACTTTGAACATGTCATAAAGGACCAGTATGTGGATGGTGTCACAATTGGTAAAGTGAAGTGTCAACAAAAAAGGAAGATTGGTAAAGGTGATTATCAACAATAGGCTCAAATCTAGTAATTTTGAGGATGGTGCAGGCCTGGGCAGTGATTTATTCTGTTGTGCTAAGGACCACTGAGTTGGAACCATCTTGAAAGCATGTAACATTACAAACGTAATCATTATTTGAGGAGCCCTGGTGGTGGTGTGACCTAGACATTGGGTTGATAATCACAAGGTTGTCAGTTCAAACCTAGCAGCCCTGTGAGACTACTTGGAATCTTGTGTGGGGAGGCTGTCAGAATCAACTTGATGACCAGTATTTAGGAGCCCTGGTGATGTATTGAAGTGGGCACTCTTGCAATCCTCATTAGCTACTCTGTTGGATAAAGATGTGGCATTAGGTTTCTGTATTTACAGCCTTAGAAACCTTACTGGGTAGTTCAACTCTGTCCTGTAGGTTTAGACCTGACTCCAGGGATAAAACCCTGTTGTATCCACCAGGATCCTATCCTTGGACATCGGAAACACACCTCATTGGTTCCCTTTCCATCTAGCTCTGAGCTTGTAATTGCAATGTTTATGGGCTAAGCATCCAGAAAACTATAAACAAGCTGGTGAAGAGTCCTGTTATACTGGAGTAAGCACTTGGTTATTTCTTTTAAGGACTGGGAAGGAGCTCTGATGGCACTGTGAATAAGCACTAATTTGCTAACCATAAAGCTGGCAGTTCAAAGGCACCAGCTGCCCTGAAGGTCTGAGTCACTATGATTAGAACTGTGGCAGTGGCTTTTGGGTAGAGGGAATACAAGTGATGCAAAAGGTTTATCTTTGGAGGTTCAAGTTCACTAAGGAGTTTCTGGGTAGGCCTGACAGTCTGCTTCCAAAATAGCCAGCCATTGAAATGCCAGGAGTCCAGTTAATTTGAGGTCAGCTGGTGGCACTGGTAAAGGACAAGGAAAAAAAGGCTTATGGAGCACACTTGTGTGTCATGGAGTCAATTCCAACTGTACAGGGTTTCCAAGGCTGTAAATCTTTACGGGAGCAGAAAGCCTCATCTTTCTCCCACGCAACAGCTGGTAGTTTCAAGCTGCTGACCCTGAGGTTTGCAGCCCGATTCTATGCTACCAGAGCTTCCTTAGGAAAAAGCAAATGTAAACAGAAAGAAAATTGTAACTATGGAAATGTTTTAAAGTGGAAGTCATTCAGTGTAGGAAGCACTGAAGAGAACTCACAATGTAATTATATTGGAAGATTGGCAGCCAGGAATTTTAGGAGTTGGTGACAACAACCATACTAGGCAAATAAATCCTTTTAGGTGACTGGAAGGCACCTAACAACTTTGTAACTGGTTTGTGTTGTAAACACACAAATCTCTTTAATCAATACAACGCCTGTACTTTTTTGTTCTAAGGACTAATGATCACCTTAAAATGTTGCTCATTAATAGAAATAATCATGAATAACCTACCTAAAGGGCATAATCCATAATAAACGTCAACAATGGTACCTTATCTTCTGTCTTTAAACCCCAACTCCTTTTAATGCCTAAATACATTCCTATCCTGGTGTGGTGATGTGGGATAAAGCACTTGGACTGCTTAGCGGTTCAAACTCACAAGCTACTCCTTGGAAACCCTACACAGTGTCACTATGAATTGGAACTGATTTCACAGCACTTAACAATTTTTCTCTTTCTTACTGAATGCTTTTCTTTCACCCATTGAAATACATACGCAAGACAGAGCTTTAAAAATTCATGAAAAAAGCCAGTTGTATATACACAGCGTGGAATCCTGGTGTGGCACTTATGGGCTAAAATGCTGGACTACAAAGTCAGTTTGACCTGCAAGGTTAGCAGTTCAAACTCACCAGCAGCTCCTTGGAAATCCTATACAGGGTTTGCGATCGGTTGGTACTGACTCAATAGCACTTAACAACATAATTTTGAGCTTCAATCATGAAAACACTAAGAAAAGAAACATTTAAACTGGAATGCAATTAATCAGATAGTCTCCAAGGAGCCAAAGACCTTGTATCTGCATAATACTACGTTCACAATAAATACTTATTTTAAAAAAACTTCAGATGCACATTTGGTTTAGTATACTATATAGAAAGCATGGTAACAGAAGTTTCTGAATGTCACTAGACAATGAATTAAAGCAAACTTTTATTGAAGCATAAAATTGTCGTACAGAAATACATTTAAACTGATTTTAAGTCCAACACCATGAAGGGAGAAATATGGCACCAAAACTTCCCCTCCTCTATCAGACTAGGATTAATTTAATTACTATCCAATCTATAGTATTTTATTTTGCTAGGTTTTCTTTCCTTTCAAATTTGTACTTTTCAACATTAGAATTCTTAAATCTAGTTTTTAAAAAGCAGACCTCAAGCCAACAAATGTCATCTAAACTACTGGGATACTGTTCAAGAACAAAATCCACTTTGAGTATTGGTCCTCAAAACAGAGCACATTACAGAAACATTAGTTGTTGTTCTACTTACAGAATCAAACTGCTCACACTAACTGAATGCTTCTTTAATGAAGTATTCAATCAACGTGCTTAAAAGGAAAGTCAAAACGGTGTTCCAACCACTTGATTTCAAACCAAGCAGATTTTGTTTACAAACACTAAAAAACAGTGTTTCTTTTATAAATACGGAAGGAACAAAACATCACTGCATCAATCCAGGAATAAAAAAGTTGAGGACAAGCAATACAAAATTTAATCAACTTTGCTGTTCTCTTAGCTGCTTATATCCCACAGTATTTGTAAATGTAGCTTAAAAAAATATGCCAACTCTTGAAAAGCCGATGTCTAGTCATTTCCCATTAAGTGACTATCTTGGAGTAGTGTATGTTGTTTAAAGAGGGCAGTCACTCACTTGATCATATCTAGTGGTGATGAAAGGACCACCACAATGAAATCAGAACACTATCACACAAAGTCATAGAACTTTTAAGTTAACAAGGTGAAAGGATGTTGGTTTTGCTTTGAAGCAAAGTGTATAGTATATTATTAATGGAAATGGCTCATAAAAATAAAGTTAAAGGTGAATGAGCCAAATTGAGTTGACTTATTGAAACAGCAATCTCCTAGCTAATACACTTAATGCATTTATACTATTACTTAGCAAGTTAGTAAAGGCATGGTGCTCACAAGATAATCTCATTTATTGGGGGGCAGAGAATGGTATAAGGATTCTATACTCAGTTCTGTCAGCATACCTAATTCTTAATCTACAACAGCTATGAGTCTTCCTTACTAATCAACACTTCTGTCAGTATCTTCCAAAAGAGCCTGTCAATGAAGAGAAGATCAAATCCACTCAAACTTAAAAGACAACTGTGCCCAAGGTCTACCCTCCCCTGGGGGTATAACATTAGTATAAACCCACAGTGTGAAAATATATTGCTCTATTTAGAGGGATGAGGGCCAGGGGATGGGGGTGGGATCTGTCATGGTGAGAGAAATCAAAAGACTACAAATACAGCGAGCAATACTTTTAAAATAGTTATACACAAAATGAGTAACTGAATCATTTTCTTAAGAGGACTGGACTCGTGGAAGAAAAACTTTAATTGCTGTTGCAAAAAACATCTGTATGAAATAGAAATTGGTTTCAATAACATTCATAGAGATTATGTTCTAGAAACTGGAGGTAACGGGATGTAAAATTCTGGCAGCAATTTAATAGAACAGTCCCAGAGGGTTCGGCTGAGGCCAACACCTAGTGAGGACGAAAGCCTTGTCTGTGGGGAATTTTGGATGACACCTGGAGAAATACTATGCTGTGCATAAACCAAATCGAATTGTTTTCACAAGTATTGTAAAGTTTCATACAGTAAGAGTTTTTTTCTACATGCACTTCAATTTCACAGCAAGAGTGGCATAGAATACCTAAACACAGAAGAGAGCATTCATGCAAGATATCTAACTCCTTGATATAATAATGCATACAATTCAAAATGATTACACTATGATTACATCTAGGGCTTTCTGCAACTACAAGGTGGTGGTTATGGAAAGCATGGCCCCCGGTATCAACACCTAGAAAGCAGCCACCACCTTCTTCTACGTGTGTTCTCTTTTTGCGCTTTTTCTTCATCTTTCTTAATCAACTCGGCTGTTGCTGCTGCTTCTTAGCAAAACTGGTAAAAACAAAGTTGTAATCATTGAACATAGCACTCTGGCAATCAAGACGTTTAAAACCTTCAATCTTCTGGGGCGAAGAAAGCACTGTGCGACATTTAGAACTCTGGAGAAAAAAATGTAAATAATCATTAGTGCTTCATATCTGCTCAAGTTCCTTCAATTAAAAGTCATGCAATAAATTCATTGTTAAGTACTGTCAAGTCAGTTCCAACTCATAGTGACTGTGTATAGGGTTTCCAAGGAGCAGCTGGTGGATTTGAACTGCCAACACTGTAGTTCCTAGTCCAGTGCTGAGCCTACAGTGCCACACCAGGAGTTCAAGCAATAAATTTATGGTCTTTAAAATTTATTTTGTTGAGTATATGCACCATTGTTGCTGTTTTTAAGTGCCAAAAAGTCAATTCCAACTCATAGTGACCCTTGTACAGGGTTTCTGAGTAGCAGCTAGTGAGCTTGAACCACCAAACTTGTAGATTAAACCGACTTTGCAGTTCTGTGCATTAAACCACAGTGCCAACCAGGATATGTACCAGTAGTGACACTGATTTCATTCTCTGAGTTGTACAATTCTTACTCTTTTGCTCCTGGGAAATTGTATTCGGGGTAGCTATGGGTCAGAACCGAGTCAATGGCACTTCACAACAAGGTTCCTAAGGAGCTCTGATAGCATACTGGCTGCGTGCTGAGCTGCTAATTAAAAAGGTCAGCAGTTTGAACCTGGCAGCCACTCCACAGGAAAAAAATAAGGCTTTCTGCTCCCGCAAAGAATTACAGCCTCAGAAACCCTATACAGGGCAGCTATGAGTTGGAACCAACTTGACCTCACACCACCACCAAAGTTCCTATCTAATCTTTTTGAGCTGTTGTCACTTGAATCTCATACAGATAGTTCACTTTATGACTTATTTCATCATCCTGGTTTTCTGGATCATCAATAATAAAAACAATTACCTGATTTACAAACAGGGTGGTCACAAATTTTCCTGGCTTGAAGACTTCCACAACTTTCCTGATCAGGTCATCGTAGGAGGTCTGACTTAGGTTTGTTTCAAAGCTGACATAAGAAAACTCTGGTTCTGGAGTGATGTGAATAGTCCAATAAGTTCCCTTAAAAGAAATATGTGTTAATAGTGGAAAAGGTATATTTAAATATTCAAATAATGAATGAGGCAACAAACAGTGACTTACATCCGATTTCATTCCATTCATTGAATACCCACAAGGATTGAAGAGTGTGGCATCAATGACAGAACCTGGTATCAGGTCACGAATTCCACTCTCCTGGAACAAAGGTAAGACAATTAATAAAGACAAAGTCCTGGCATGGCGCTGTAGGATCAGCACTGGACTGCTAACCACAAGGGTTGTGGTTCACACCCACCAGCCACTCCTTGGAAAACCTATACAAGTCACTGAGTCAAAAATTACTCAATGGCACTTAACAATAATGGTGGTCGTGTGCCAGAGTCACTTCTGACTCATAGTGAGTGACCCTGTATAGGGTTTCTGAGGCTGTATATTTTTACAGGATCAGAAAGCCTCACCTTTCTCATTTGGAACAGCTGGTAGTTTCGAACTGCTGACCTTGAGGCTAGCAGCTTGACTTGTAACCATTACACTAACTACAACACAATAATTACTTTAAATTCTTTTTCAAATGCTTACACGAGTGACATCCTTTGCAGTAACACCATCTTTCATGTAGAACTGGTCCATAACTGCTGGGTCAAGCTCACTCATCAGAATTTCCAGGGTTTGATCTGGCTGGCTGATTACCCGACTCTCTGGGAAATCCAAAGTATACAAGTACCTGTATAAGAATGATAATAGTTTCCAAAGATTAAACTGGCAGTTTATAATACATCTTACATATATAACAACAAAAACCCCATACAGTTATGTCAAACTTACCAACAGTCAGAATTCATACGTCCCATACAATATGCTGCTCCATCTGTTGTGAAAAGAGAATGAAAAAGAAATGTAACAGACATATTTTGCTTATCCACTCCTAAAACCCCTGGTATTTGATCACTCATTTGCCTGCTTTGCTGTAAAAATGGCAGGTCATTTTATGATTAACACTTCCTATACATATAGTTTCAACATTTAACATAGTAGAACTTCTACAACACTAGGTACATGTTTATACTAAATGTTCAGCACTCTCTTGTATTGCCTAGTATTTAAAAGTTTTGCATTAGAAGCGGTAAATTATGAAAAATGGGATAGAAATCAGGATTAATTAAACTTAGAAAAGATAGAGTCTTGGTGTGGCGCTGTAGAATAAGTACTGGACTGCTAACCGTAAAACCATTGGTTCAAACCCACCAGGCTGCTCCTCAGAAATCCTACACAAGGTTGCTGAGTTGGAACTGACTTGATGACACTCAGCAACAAATTTAGCAAAGAAAGGGAAGAAACTTTTTTTACCAATTCAGTTCAAGTGAGGTGTATGACTATTACCATTTTAAGCAGCACACCTGTGTGGTAAACTATTCTTAACCCTAGGGACTGGAGTTGGTTATCTTTGAAGCCATTGGGGATTTTTCTCAAAGAAGGCACTAAAAACTCAATACTGACAAAAGACTTATGATCTATATTTTAAGCAGTGAGTTAGACATAAATTAAATTAACCAGATGAACTCTACCCCTCTGCATTAAGCAAAACTAATAGCGATTCTCACATAGTAAAGGTTACATAAATAATAGCCTACAAAATTCCTGTTTTTAAAAGACTACTATTGTACTGATAAAATGACACCCAAATAACTTTAAAAGTGGCATGTGTACACCAGGAGTCAAGGTTAGGTTAAATGGGAACTTTACTTGACACTATAAATTTGTGGTTACAAATTGGGCTGCTAATCTCACGGTCAGCAGTTGGAAACTACCAGCTGTTCCGCAGGAGAAAGATGAGGCTTTCTGCTCCCGTAAACATTTACAGCCTCGGAAACCCTGTACAGGGTCGCTATGAGTCAGAATTGACTCCACGGCACATAACAACATAGGTATGTCATTTTTTAAGGTCAGTCAGTGCATAAGCACTGGTTTCCTGATTCTTTACCCTGCAACTTAAAAAACTTACTTGGGAAAATTGCGTTAAGAAACTCTATTTCTTCCTGGAAATTCCGGTGTGGGTACCCTTGGTGAGAAGGCTTCATGAAATTCTTACGAGAATAAAAGAAGCTCTAAGGGAGACAGATGAATAACTTCAGACATAAACTAATCATGTTTTCTGCATGCATACACACACACAGCAGCAAAATAAGCTCTTCTACAAATATAAGCTGTCCGAACCAATCCTAGCATCATCTTAGAAAAGAAAAAAGGCCACTATCTCAAAATCTAAGGGCAATGTATTTCTTTTTATAAGCTGTAAAGTTTCAATCAGATAAGTAAGAATGTAGACTTCAATGTAATGAGTTTCTACAGACACAACTGCCCCACTTACTAATGATGGGAAATATTTCTTTCTTTGATCAGTGCTTTCTAATCTGGATTTTTAAATGGCATCAAAGCAAAAATTTTATGAATGAACATGAATATTTTTCTTCTAGAGAAAAGGGTATATCATTTCTAAAGTTTCAAAACTATCACAATGGTTCAAAAGTAATAAATATATTGCTTTAGGTTTTTTGCAACAGGTGGATCATTCAACAGTTCTTTCTCTTATAGCATTACAATCTTACCACATTGTTAGACAAGGTAATTGAAGCATTATACAGGATAACTATACCTAAGGCCTGAAAAGAAGGATCACATTTTTAAAAATACTTACTTGAATTGAGTCAAACCCACTGTAATCCCTAGCAAGCTTCAACAGGGGAACCAGTGCTTTCAGCAAGAGGGTGGTACCACATGTCTTCAAAATGAAACGTCTCTTGGAGACAAACATGCTACTCTCACTGCAAGTGAAAAAAAGCCACAATGCGAAAATGTTTGCATAACCCCTGAAGGGGCCATTATCCCATTATCAGACTATCATTTACAATGTGATTTACCAGAATGTTGGAATTTCAAAGATGCAAATACTGTTTTAATAATTTTCCTACTCTACAACAATTAGTTAAAGGTTCTTGAGCCCATAGAACTAAATATAAAACATACTGAATGAAATGTATCTACAAACCCTCTGTCAACTGACCTCCCTCACTTCATGAAAGAGCAAGCATGCACTAGTACTCTAGGATACAAGTATCTGAGGATGCCAGTCGGTCTATGTTTCTTTGAGAAGAAAAATCTGACAACCATTTGTATATGTCTCACTAACTTGGTAAAGACCAGGAGCCTTACATACCCATTCAATCCAACAGTCCCAAAGTCCACCACCAACACACCTCTATGTGTTACTTATGATCTCATTACCGGACATTCTGCATTTACAACAGTAAACAATCTACTATCCTACAATTTTGTGCATTAATGATGCATGTTGGCAGCAGCAAATGCTGGGGTGCTAGGCAAGAGTAACACTGGTTGTAGAAGTTAAGGTTTTGTTTGAACTTGGATGAACTATGTATGATTGATTCTCAGTGGTTTGGCAGTTATCTAACAATGTAGTCAATTCTGTTATTTCTGTTATTGAAAGGCATAAACTAAAAATAGAAAAGGTTAGTGGTAGAGGTATAATATGATATAGCCTCCCCTTCACGGATATTTCTTCCTAACTATAAGGAGGTAAATATGATAATCCAGGGACACCTAAACATTTTATATGTTATAAAGGGAAAATGATTCTAGAACCAAGATGGAGAGCAATGATGATACTCCAGGTAAAGTATGATGCAGACCGAAATGAGCTAGTTAACACTTGTTTTATCAAACTTACCTGAGTACATAAGCTTCCTGCTTGTCAGTTTTTGTCACACTTATGATTGAACATTGCACATCCTTCAAAAGTATATCCCACTCGGATCTATTATTTAAAAAAAGAGAGAAAGAGTAATCTCATCAATTATCAAGCTCCCAATATAAAAGTCTTCCAATAATTAAGATCACCTTATTTTATATATGCTGGCACACTGGTTTTGGTGAGAACAGTTTATAGGTACATAAATCCCACTGTTAATTCACAGAGACCCTGTATGTGGGTTTCTGAGCCTAAATCTTTGAGAGCAGACAGCTTCACCATTCTCCCGCAGCAGAGTGGCTGGTAGATTTGAACTGCTGACCCTGAAGTTAGCAACCAAACACCTAAACCCACAGTGCTGCCCAGGGCTCCTTATTTACATACACAACAAAAAAATTTAAAAAGCAAACTGGAAAATACAAAATTATACTTTATATTTACAAACTACTAAAGCACTGGACTGCGAACTACAAGATCATTAGTAAAGCCAACGAGCTGCTCTATTGTAAAACAATGAGATTTCCTGCTCCTGCAAAGATTACATACAGCCTTGGAAACCCTACAGAGTTCGCTATGAGCCAATACTGACTAGAAGGCACTTACCAACAAACATACAGCAAGGATGATCATTACGTCTCATTAGCCATAATAGCTGATGGTACTTACCAACTAGGGCAGCTCTGTGGACAAGTGTCTGTTGTTGTTATGTGCCATGGAGTCGGTTCCGACTCATAGCGACCCTGTACAGGGTTTCTGAGGCTGTAAATCTTTACGGGAGCAGAAAGCCTCATCTTTCTCTCATTGAACAGCTGGTAGTTTCGAACTGCTGACCCTGTGGTTCACAGCCCAATTCATAGCCACTACACTCCAGAGGTCCTTGGTATAGGATCATGAATTCCCATTTTGAGGAACAATAATGAAAAAAAACTGCTGGTATTGGGAAATGTCACTAAAAGTTTGAAATCACACCAGAAAGGATTACTTGTGTATGTAGTACTACATAGTTTAGTGCTTTAAACACTCTAAGACAAACACTACTGGATAATCTATCAACCATGTGATTATATATAAAGGCATAATCTTCTGAGAGCTGCTTGGCTAAATCAAGAATAAAAAAATCAAAAAGCTTGCAAGATACAACAGACAGTAAAACAAACCAATAAAAATCACGAAATGTCAGTCAACCACAAATTTTTCTCCCAAAAGTTTGAAGAGAGGGGGGAAAGAGCCTTCTTTTGTAAATAAAGCTTTATTGGAACGCAGCCACACCCACTCATTTACATATAGTCTAGGGTTGCTTTCTCCTTAAGGGCAGAGCTGCGCAGTTACTTAGGGCCTGGCCTTGCAAAATCTAAAATATTTACTCTGGCCCTTCTACTGAAAGTTTGTTGGCTCTTGTGTTTTAGAGAAAAGGTTTTCCCTGCTTTTTGCCCCAAATTAATACAGGTGACTGAGATATTTTCTTAATTATAGTTTTAAAATTTCAAAGTTGTATAGTATGCAAGACCAGCCCCAGGAAAGGTTATATATTTTAATTCATACTGGTTTAATGAGTTGAAAATATTATTGTAAAATGCTAAGTAATTATTTGGAGCTTATAAAATAAATTCATAGATAAAGCAAAGTATTTCCTGATTTGAATGATTTTCCTCAACTTAAAAAAACTTAATGGGTTATTTCCTCAGTGTAAGTAAAAATCAAGAGTTTCAGAGCCATCAATTAATTTTACAAGCAATTTACCCAAAGCCACTCAACTATTTATTTAAAGGCAGACTGAAGTTACCCTCAACTCTCTAACCTTAGCTCACATGCCAAGTTGTCTGTTTCGGAGGCCCTCCTTTCAAATTACTTTCAGGCTTTTATACCAAAAGATAGATTTTTGTGTCAAAAGCATCCTAAATATACTTAGCAATTAGATTCTGGAGCTGTCTAGTAGGATAGTCAATTGAAATACCCAGACATATCTCTACTAGTTCAAAAGAAACCCAAATGCTGCAAAATTTTTACCAAAATTAAATGACTAATCATTATATGGAGTCCTGATGTGGTGCTATAGGGTAAGTGCTCGACCACAAAATCAGTTTGAACCACAACAACAATCTGTATAGATGTAATTGGAGTCCTGGTGTAGCCCCGTGATTGATGCAGTGGACTGCAAAGTTGGTCGGTGGTTCAAGCTCACCAGTTGCTCCTCAGAAACCCTATACAGGGTCGCTGAGTCGGAAACCACTCGACAGCATTAACAATTAACAACATGTATGCAAAGTTATTCAACCATTTGATTACTACTTTCAACATATACTAATAAAGAGAAAGGTAGTTTGGACCCAGGAGTTCAAATCTTTTTTGAGAATGTGGTAAGGAATGTATAATGAAGCAGTTTTTCTGCTTCAGAACATTTATACTAAAAGGTTTTCTGGCAGTAGGTTATGGATTCCTTTAATGTAAATGACTGATACACCAATACTGTGCAATGATGTAGTTCTGAGAATGTTAATGCTGCGGGGGCTTTCATATACTATCACTATCTGTGCAACTATCTCATCCATCCTTCACATTTTTTTCTTTTCTAGCAGACTTCTTTCCCACATGACCGCCTCCACACAAAGCTGTCATTTCTTATGAAGCACAGAACCACCACAAGGTTGATGGTTCAAACTCATCAGGTGCTCCTTGGAAACCGTATGCTGGGTTGCTATGAGTCAGAACTGACTCGACAGCACGTAACAACTTATAAAAATACCAGTAAAACAATGAAAAGTAAAGATTTTAATAGGAGTGAAATTATTTGCAATGTATATATCAAAGAAATTATCAAAAATGTATATAAAATTTAAGGGCAGTCATCCCAAAAGAAAATGGACAAGAAATACCAGAATTTCACACAAAAGACATCCATATAGTCAATTCACATATGAAAACCATTAGATTCTATAAATCATCTGGGGGAAAATAAACAAAACCCATAGCACTATACAAAGTCACCTGAGCAGGAACCAACTAGATGGCACCAAACAAATCCAAAACAATGGCTCAAAAAAGCAATAGCAGAAAGTGCTGCACATTTATTTAGACAGAGGATATGTTCAGAAATAATAGTTTCACATTTTATTTTTCTATTGTGGCGCCGTGAGCTAATGCGCCAGACTGCAAAGCCGTCTGAACTGCAAGGTCAGTGGTTCAAGCTCACCAGCTACTCTTTGGAAACCCTATACAGGGTCGCTATGGGTCGGAATTGCATCGACGTATGTAACAACAAAGGTTTCCATGATTTTCTAGCAAATTTTTTATGTACCCTCATATACTTACTCAAGACTTATTGCAGATTATATTAAACTAGACTGGAATATTATCCTCAAAATGTCCCAATTATTCGTTTGTTCCCCTCCTTGGTTCAAATTTAAAGTGATGTGGCGCTGTAGGATATGCATAAGACTAAGACAGCAAGGTAAGGTCATGGGGTTCAAACTCACCAGGGGCTTCTTGGAAACCCTATTCAGAGTCACTATAAGTCAGAACCATCTCCAGGGAACTTTAACAACAACATAAAATTCTTCATTAAACCCCACACTTTTATATTTTGAAAGCATTTTCATACTGATAGAAGCCATAATGAATTATGTTGCTGTAAACATGCTGTCGAGTTGAGGAGCCACTGGTAAGTTTGAACCACCAACCTTGCAGTTGTTTGTTTTTGTTAAGTGCTGTCAAGTCGGTTATGACCATAGCGATCCTGGATAGGGTTCCCAAGGAGCAGCTGGTGATCTTGAACCACCAAGCTTGCAGTTCAAATGGCTTTGCAGTCTGGCACATTAACCCACTCTGCAAATCTAAATATTGCACCAGACAGCTTTTCTCTAAAATAATTTCAAGCAGCCTTTCAAATTCTCCAAACTCACACATCCATCTGTTATTGTACTAAGGTTCTTGGGACATATAATAAATCCTCTAAATTGATATAGTATAGATACTAATTAGTAGTTGAACTATTTTACATTCCCATCAGCAGTGTATTGTCATTCCAATTCCTTCAAATCTGGTCAGGTTTTCACATCAAAACTCTGCTAACCTCAAAACTGGTTGGGAACTGTGTTCGTGCTCTACTCCTGACAGAATATATGAAAAAAAAAAAAAAAAAAATCGGAATGACTTCTTTTTTACTGCTTTTCACTGGAAAAACTCTAGTGAAACCATTTGAATCTAAGTTTCCTTTGTGGGGAGAGATGATTAGCAAATAATCCAATTTACATAAATTGCAGAACTACTTAGCCTTTCTATTTCTTTTTGCATTAATTTTGGAAATATATTTTCTAGGAATTTTTCACAACATGCTTTTGATTTTTTAAATGTCTCTTGTATTTGTAACATGCCCTTTTGGGACATTTGTTCCCTTCTCCCTCTTGTAAACCTTCGAAATCCTTATAAACACAAATTGAAATTTACTTATTTTAATCTACTTATTTAATGAGGCCCCTTGTGGCTTTGACTAGGTCTTCAACTCCCTGGATCTTGTGAAGCTATGAAAATATGTTGAGTACACACCTTCTTCAAGATACAGAAAAGCCAGGCCCAAAGACAAAGTGGGTTAAAAAACTCCCTTTCTTTTTATTCCCTCCACTCTATGAATCTGGCTTGAAAAGTCCTTGGTGACAGTAAGATGTTATCAAGCACCATAGCATGTATAAGAGGATATCCAAACTGGTAAAGAGAATATCAAATGTCTACTGTTGTTATTGTTAAGTGTCAAGTCAGTTCTGACCCATAGCGACTCTATAGGGTTTCCAAGAAGTAGCTGGTAAGCTTGAACTACTTCTGGTTCAAAGTGACTTTGCAGTCCAGTACATTAGCCCACAGCGCCATTTTTGTTGCCTTTGAACCACAGACCTTTTGGTTAGTAGCCAAACATTAACCACTCCAAAGCCTTCTATCAAACAGCCTCAAAATTTTTATAGTTGTTGCTAATTGCCATCGGCTCATAGTGACCCTATATAGATAGGGTTTCCATGCAGCAGCTGCTGAGTTTGAAGCACTGTAGTTCAAACAACCTTGCGGTCCGGTCCAGTGCC